AAGTGGTGCTGTGGCTCAAGTGATAGAGCGCTAGCCCTGGGTACAGAGAGGCTCAGGGACAGAGCCCAGGCCCTGAGTTCAAGCCCCAGGACTGGCAAAAAAAAAAAAAGATTAAACATCTGCTGCTAACAGCTGGAACAGCTCCTCAGATAAGCCATGCTTTCTTTTTTTTTTTTTGGGGGGGGGCCAGTCATGGGGCCTGAACTCTGGGCTTGGGGGCTGTTCCTCAGCTCTTCAGCTCAAGGTTAGGGCTCTACCACTTGAGCCACAGCACCACTTCCGGCTTTTTTCTTTTTGTTTATGTGGTTCTGAGGAATCGAACCCAGGGCCTCAGGCATGCAAGGCAAGCGCTCTACCACTGAGCCACCTTCCTAGCCCCCAACCATGGCTTCTCATGGTGACTGGACATCACACACCGCCCTGGGATAACCATCAGCCTCAACCGGAGCACATCTAGACATGACTTACACAAAACTCTGACCCCTGGCCCAACTCTTCTCTTACTTAAACCTAAAGTTTATGCCAATCCCTTGAAGGCAGGTGCCTTCTGAGGTGCCACTGAGCCTCCTTGTCTTCCTAATCCAGCCACGTTCAATTAAATCTTTCTCTACCATTCCCAGTGCTTGTCTCTTTAATTGCCCGGTAGGATTTTTACCTAAAACTCCACATTCATATCCATTCTTTTTTCTTCTTTTTTCTTGTGCCACAGGTATTGAGGCTTGTTCTCAGAGCCTTGCACTTTTATTGACTTCTTTTGCTCAAGGCTGGCTGGCCCTCTACTATTTGAGCCACATCTCTACTTCTAGCTTTCTGCTGGTTAACTGCAGATAAGGAGTCTTATGGACTTCCCTGCCTGGGCTGGCTTCCGAGTAGCTAGGACTACAGGTGTGAGCCATGGACACCCAGCTCCAACTTGAAAGTTGTGGTTGAGATGGAGTCTTGCTAATTTTGTCAGGGTTGGCCTGGAACTTTCAGTCCTCCTGCCTCTGACTCTTAGGACTTAGGGTTTAGTTTTGTTTTGTTTTTTCAGTATCACCTCAGCCACACCTCTGGCTCTATCCCTCTTCCTCTTGAGTAGCTGGGATTATAGATGTGCACCACCATGCCTGTCTCCTCTGAAAGCATGGTCAATCTCACCTTCTCAAAGATACCTTTCCTGGAGCTGAGGACAGATCAGGGAAGGTGAGCCATGAGAAACAGCAGCCAGGAATTCAGAAGTACACATTGGATTAATCTTGCATAAAAGCTTATAGGCAATATTTCCTTGCTTTAAACTCCTCCCTTACTAAGCTAAAATGTTAAAAAACAAAACAAAACAAAACTGGGCACCCATGACTCACGCCTGTATAATCCTAGCTATTCAAGAGGCTGAGATCTAAGGATCACAGTTCAAAGCCAGCCCAGGCAGGAAAGGCCATGAGACTCATATCTCCAATAAACCACCAGAAAACCAGAAGTGGCACTGTGGCTCAAGTGGTAGAGCGCTATCCTTGAGCTGAATTGCTGAGGGACAGAGCCCAGGCTCAGAATTCAAGCCCCATGACCAACAAAAAAAAAGAAAAAGAATGTACACACATATGTACAGGTCACAATGAAATCCTCTTGTATAAGTAATTGACACAAATAAAATGTAGAACAAAGAAGAGGAAGAAAGAAGGAAATAAAGCAGCTCTTTGACCTTGTGGGAATAAGTACCACACTTTGGGAAGGGAACAAGAAGATCTTAGGGAAGACACTTATTCTGGGGATTAGGGGGAAGGGAACACTTGGTAAAAAATAATTCCTTTGATCATAAAAGGGCTTGCAGGGGGATGAAAATGTTTACCTCAAGGATGGACACCTGTTTTAAAGGGGAGTAACTTGTATGTTCCAATATCTATGCTGTCATAACTCAAATGTAATGAGCAGACAATCTGGTTATCTCTAGACTCACTGATAGAAACAGGGCAACAGTAAGAGTGACTGAATGAGCCAGGTGCTCATTTAAGCAGCTTGCTTGTTAATTTTGCATCTGGCTTTATCTGTGTTTTTTTGTTAATCTCAACTTGATAAATGGCAGAGTAGAATTTTTCTTTCTCAGTCAAAGCTATATTTATTTTCTCAGGACACAATGTTTCTGAATCTTGGTGGGAGCCATGAAGTGGAAGATTCTTTCTAGGATGATCAGACCAGGGGGGAACCTCCACTCCTAGCCCCGTCAGTGTCCAGAGATCAAATTCTCCAAACACTTACTGTATCTCCTACCTGGACAGCTGGACCGCCCAAATGCTCTGAAAGTTCTCCACCAGTAATCTACATGAGTATAAATCTGATTGTTGTGTTCTGGGTGTTCAGTTAGTGAACAGGGCTGGGGGGTTCAGAATTTAGGATGTAAATATGCTCCTTTTGTTTTTAGAATGATTTTCTTGCTTTCAATGGAATATTAATTTTCACCTTTTTTTGGGGGAGGGGGTGTCAGTTGTGGGGCTTGAACTCAGGGCCTGGGTGCTATCCCTGAGCTTTTTTTTTTTTTTTTTTT